GAATTAATAATAAAATATAGATAGATGTGTATGTATATATTTGAGGAAGAGAGGAGTGGTCACTGCAGTGGCTTATAAATTGCAATAAAAAATGCACAACCTAAATGTCCACAAATAAGGTACAACTTACCTAGCCTTTAAAAACAAAGAGGTGTATTAACATGGAGATATATCCAGGTTTGTAGAGAGCTTTTTCAAATGACTTGTAAGCGTCTACTCTGTCTCCTCCTATCCTCCTGCCACCATCAAATTCTCAAGCCCATCTGAGAATCACTGTACATAAGAGAGCTACTACTCTTGTGAGTCTGCTGTGCATTTAAATAATGTGACAGAAAACAAGATAATGAACCAATGGGGCTGGAGCCTCTGGTCTCAACAAACCTTTCCGGTTCCAAGGCATCCTGAGTCCCAACATTGAGTTGAAACTTTCATCCCCTCACCTTTTAAGTCCAGAATCTCTGAATATCAAACCACAAAAACTGGATCCTGATGAAGTAGCAGAGATTAAACCAAGATAACTAGGGAAGAATAAGAAAAAGGACAATTCCAAAAAACCTCAGACTGCTTCTAGTACCCCCAAAAGGGGGTTACAAAAGGATGGGAGGTTTTGGCAGTTAAGAGAGGATTTAGCTCTAGCAGGGAAAGCTTCTGAAGGTGGAGGGCGCTTCTGAAGAAGACAGGCATCCCATTTTGTTTCTCTAATCTTGGATTTCCACTGCTCTCAACTTTTGCTGCTATCAGTAATCATAGTTAACCTGAATTGTTTTATTGTTAGAAGGAACTTAGAGGTAGTCTAGCTGTATTTATTTTATGGACAAGAAGACTCAGAGCACATAGCTCTTTATTAGAGAGTGGGATAGAACCCTTGTCCCTAGGTAGGTTTCTCCTGGATCCTGTAACTGCGGTTAAGTTGTAAAACTGGAGGTGTGGTAGGTGGAGATTTTATTTTACAGAAGGAAAAGGAGTTTGACTATTGTTTTCCTCCTTTCTAGAGGGTATTTGCTCTATCCAGGAACTTTTAGATAGTTGTACAAAGTGAATAACAAAGGGTAATTTGCCCTCCGTCTGCATACTCACTGGGCCATATTGTTGGTGTTCCTAGAACAATGACCTGTAGAAATGAGAGGATCTTGTGGGGTGGGATATGATGGAAAGGATGCTGGTCTCTTATGAAGCCAGAGAAACTGAGATTGTTGATGTTGTTGTCCTGCAGTCTGCCTGTCTTGGTGAAAGACATAGATCATGTGCCTGTGTTCCTCTTTGCTCCTCAGCATTAACATGGTATAGAGTCTGAGGGTTTGGATAGGGACCTGGCTGTTTACAGAACTTAGAATGCAGTGTGCACACAATCCATCCATTTATTTATTCAGCAGATGTTTAACTCCCCAGTATGTGTGTGACTCTGTTTTATGTGCTGCAGATATAGCATTTAAACAAAACCAACAAAAGTCCTGGCCATCTTGGCCTTTTACACCTTGGCAGAGAGAAGCAAACTAAATAAATAAATAGCATGGATAGACTATGAGGTAGTGATACCTCTGGAAAGCAGGTTAGTGAATCCCAGGGTAACACTGGAGGGTTACAGTGTTAAATAGGGATAGGTCAGAGCAAGCCTCAGCAGAAGGTGACATTTGAGCAACAACCTGAGGGAGATGAGAGAGGGAGCCATTGTTTCAGGTTGGCGTAATGAAGGGCAGGGCCCTGGTTTGTGATGCAGGAGCGTGCCTGTTGTGTGTGTGAGGGCAGGGGAGTGGAGGGTGCTGTGAGGAAAGGCAGTGTGAGTGAAGTAAGTGAGGATCAGTCATGGATAATAAGATCTGAAAGACATGGAGTCCATGCAGCCCATTGCAAGGACTTTGGCTTTTAACTGATTGAACTGGGACCACTGAAGGACTTCGAGCAAAGGAGTGACATGATCTGACTTAGTTTTTTCAATTAATTCTTCCAAATTGGCTTTTCCAGAAGGTTGTACTAATTTATATTTCCGTCAACAGAATACAGAGAGAGTTCTTTTGTACCCTCTCAACAACAGAGAATTATTAAACTTAATTTTTACCAGTTTGATAGGTGAAAAATAATACTTTATTAATTTACACTTGTTCTTTTTTTTTTTTTTTTTTTAAGACAAGGTCTTGCTCTGTCGCCCCGTGGCATGATCCTACATTACTACAGCCTTGATATCCTAGACTCAAGCCATCCTCCATCTTTAGCCTCCTGAATAGCTGGAACTTTGGGCACCTGCCACAAGGTCTCACTTTGTTGCCCAAGCTGGTCTCGAACTCCTGAGTCCAAGCTATCCTCCCGCCTCAGACCTTGCCTGGCTGCATTTAATTTTTTTTTTTTTTGGAGTCTCTCTCTCTCGCCTAGGCTGGAGTGCAATGGCACTGTCTCAGCTCACTGCAACCTCCGCCTCCCAGGTTCAGATGATTCTCCTGCCTCAGCCTCCCAAGTAGCTGGGACCACAGGCGCATGCCACCACACCTGGCTAAGTTTTGTATTTTTAGTAGAGACAGGGTTTCACTACGTTGGCCAGGCTGGTCCCGAACTCCTGACCTTGTGATCTGCCCGCCTTGGCCTCCTGAAGTGCGGGGATTACAGGCTTGAGCCACCACGCCCAGCCTGTTTAATTTTGAAGTAGAGTTGACTTTACTTCTTTTGTGACCTACCTTCTTTTGTGTTCTTTGCCCTTGAGTATTTCATCTTTTTCTTATTTTCTAGAGCCCCTTTCTTTTTTTTTTTTTTTTTTTTTTTTTTTTTTGAGACGGAGTCTTGCTTTGTAGCCCGGACTGGAGTGCAGTGGCCGGATCTCAGCTCACTGCAAGCTCCGCCTCCCGGGTTCCCGCCATTCTCCGGCCTCAGCCTCCCGAGTAGCTGGGACTACAGGCGCCCGCCACCTCGCCCGGCTATTTTTTTTTTTTGTATTTTTAGTAGAGACGGGGTTTCACCGTGTTGGCCAGGATGGTCTCGATCTCCTGACCTCGTGATCCGCCCGTCTCGGCCTCCCAAAGTGCTGGGATTACAGGCTTGAGCCACCGCGCCCGGCCAACCTCTTTCTATTTTAATGAAATGGTAGTCATTTTCTCATTGTGTTTTGATCTTGTTTATACTTTTTTGATTTTTTTTTAAGAGACATGTTGCCCAGGCCGGACTTGAGCTTCTGGGCTCCTCCTGCCTCAGCCTCTCAAGTATGTGGAACTACAGGCACGTGCTACCATGCCCGGCTTAAAGTTTGCATTTTTTTTTTTTTTTTTTTCAAGATGGAGTCTCACTCTGTCACCCAGGCTGGAGTGCAGTGGCGCAATCTCGGCTCACTGCATCCTCTGCCTCCCGGATTCAAGCGCTTCTTCTGCCTCAGCCTGCTGAGTAGCTGGGACTACAGGCGCACGCAACCACGCCCAGCTAATTTTTGTATTTTTAGTAGAGACGGGGTTTCACGGTATTGGCCAGGCTGGTCTTGAACTCCTGATCTTGTGATCCACCCACCTCGGCCTCCCCAAGTGCTGGGATTACAGATGCCTGGCCAAAGTTTGAAATTTTTATGTAGTTACATTTCTCTTTCTTCCTTTTATGTCTTCTTTTTCTTCCATCTGAAATTTATTTTGATGTAGAATGATATGTAGGGATCAGATTTTCTTTTTCCAGTTGGCCAGTGGTTGTCTCAGCCCTACATTTAGGGACTTTATCCAGACTGATTTGAAATGCTACCTTGATCCCATTCCAGGGTCTCATTTGGGTGCAGCACCCACGTAATTTTTTTTTTTTTGAGATAAGACCTCACTGTCACTGAAGCTTTGAGTGCAGTGGCATGATCACGGCTCACTGCAGCCTCAACCTCCTGGGGTCAAGTGATCCTCCCACCTCATGCTCCCGAGTAGCTGGGGCTACAGGCATGCACTACCCAAGCCCAGCTAATTTTTGTATTTTTTGTAGAGATGGAGTTTTGGCATTTGCATAGACTGGTCTTGAACTCCTGAACTCAAGCGATCCACCCCACTTGGCCTCCCAAAGTGCTGGGATTATTGGCGTGAGGCACTGCGCCTGGCCACATCAGCTTTTTTTTAAGGCAGGGAGAATAGGTAAATATTATAGAGCATCTTCAATTGCCTTTCTTTTGATATCTTTAGGAAGGTCACTAGCCAGAGTTAGAGCATCTGAGTAATTAGGATTGCTGGGAGTGGGGTAAAGGGGGACAATAATAAGCTCCATATCACTATACTGGGTGTGATGAAGTGGAGATGAGAACAGTAGAATAGATGTCTGCGACTCACAAAGCCTCAGTGAGTAATAGGTAAGCAATAAGCAATAAGGTAGATGTGTGAATGCCAGTGCCGTATACTGGGATGATAACATATTAGCCTATATGGAACAGGCCTCTCAAAAATAAATTTGCTAATTGTGTGACATATAGAAAAAATAGAAAAAATATATATGGAAAAGAGAGATTAGTGTGGGGTAGAATATTGAAGAGTAGAAGAATAGCCTCTTTATTGGTTATGTTTCTGCTATATTTTTGTTCTTAAGTCTAGTTTAAAAAGAATTTTTATCTTAGTGTGAGATTTTAGTACATTAAAATCCTTGCTAATCCTGTCTGCCTTTTTGTGTGAAATATATAACTTATAAAATTCAAATATGTCTGTTCAATGGTGCTGTGCTTTTATTTACGATTGGGATTATTTTAGCTACTAAGCAAATAATTAGCTTTGCTAGCCTGAAAGACTTTATTCATGACTAGTCTTGACTTGCACTGTGTATATTATTGTGTGTGTGTGGAAATGTGTGTGTGTTATTAATACAAATGTGTGCTGTGACGATTTCATTTGGTAGGATTGGGACCAGAATCTAGGTCTTGTGTTTTAGCTCAGTGGTCTTAGACTAAGCTACTTTGTTTTACTGTTGCATGGTGGAGACATAAAACTATGGCATAATCTTCTTTATATGGTATACATACATGGGGAACGTCCCCAGGGTTTGACTATAATTCCTCAGAGTTTCCCTTATAGGACTGGCTGGACAATGGCCCAGAACAAGCTATTCAACAAGATCCTCAAAGCCCTGCAGTCTGACCGGCTTGCCCGCTTGGCCAACGAAGGGGTAAGACACCAGAAATCCGCCCACAGTGGGCTCTTCGTAGTTCAGGCCTCACTGGCTGACTGACTTGTCCCCCCACTTGTTAACCAGGTAGTCCTCATGTTTTATCACTTCCACTTACATCCTTCAGGCTTGTAATGAGCCAGTGCTGCGCCGTGTTGCTGTGGACAAGTGTGCAAGGAGAGTGCGGCAGGCTCTGGCAAGTGTGAGCTGGGACACCAAGCTGATCCAGTGGCTGCACACCACCCTCGTGGAGACCTTGAGTCTGCCCATGCTGGCAGCCTACCTGGATGCTTTGCAGACGCTGAAGGGGAAGGTAAGACTGTGATTGGTGTCTGCCCTGTCCTAGGGATAGCCAGCCTCTCCTGTGGGTTCAGATGTGGGGTTTTGCAAGGTAATTATCTGGTCGGTCTGGGGTGCATGGCCAAAACTAACGGGTTTGGTATTAAAATTGGGAGACAGGGTATCATTTCACATTTGTGTCTGGTGTAAACGTTTTCAGCCCTCCTAGCTCCAGGATGAGGTACGGGGCCTGAAAACCAGAGTATATGTTTAGCCTTCTTAGCCTTGCAGCCTGTGGTTGAAGTCATGGCTGAATTGAATTGTCATGAAGTTGATGAAGGGTTTACCAGGGAAGAGTTTGTTGAGAAAGGTGACAGAAGCAGACCCTTGGTGCTCAGAGCACTGGGAGATTGCAGAGCGGGAGTGTGCCGTGATGCCTTCAACTCTGCTCCCCAGGGCATGAGCCTTTAGTAGCAACACTTAGACTTTTATAATTCAGTGCAAACATATCATTATAGTTCCCTGCTTTCTTAGTATTGCACAAAGTTAAACTGTTTTTCTTGGTGATTCCAGCGATTGCATCAGGCTGTCCTCAGTGTGGTAGAATGTGGATGCTGGAGGCAGATTGCCCGGCTGATCTCAGCTTTGTCACTGATTAGCTGTGTAAGCTTGGACTAGTGTCTTATTTCTAAAATGTGGCTGATAATAATACCTGTCTAGGAGTTTTGTGAAAAATTAGTTAATTCAGGTAGAGTGCTTAACACAAAATTAGGCACATAGTAAGCAGTGAGCCCACAGTAACTATTAACAGTTATTTAAGTAGTACCCTCATAGGTTCTTGAAATATTTGGGGTGTTTTTCTCCAATGGGTGTAGTAGCTCATGCCTATTATCCTAGCACTTGGGTAGGCTGAGGCAGGAGGATCGCTTTAGCTCAGGAGTTTGAGACCAGCCTGAGCAACATAGCAAGACCGTGTCTCTACTAAAAATAAAAAAATTAGCCAGGCATGGTGGCACGTGCTTGTAGTCCCAGCTACTTAAGAGGCTGGTGGGAGAAGGCTGTAGTGAGTTTGATCCCGCCACTGCACTCCAGCCTGGGTGACAGAGGGAGACCCTGTCTCTAAGAAAAATAGAGAAGGGAAAGAACTGATTCAATCAAAGTCGTCTGAGGCCTTTTTTTTTCCTTTGAAGATAGGGTCTTCCTGTCTCACTCAGGCTGGAGTGCAGTGGCACTATCATAGCTCACTATAACTTCGAACTCCTGGGCTTAAGCAACCGCCTGCCTCAGTTTCCCAAGTAGTTGGGACTATAGGTGTGTGCCACCACCACACCCAGCTAAAATTTTTTTTTTTTTTTTTTTTTTTTTTTTGAGACAGAGTCTTGCTCTGTTGCCCAGGCTGGAATGCAGTGGCATGATCTTGGCTCATTGCAACTTCCACCTCCTGGATTCAAGCAATTCTGCCTCAGCTTCCTGAGCAGCTGGGACTACAGGCGTGTGCTACCCTGCCCGGCTAAATTTTTTGTATTTTTAGTAGAGACAAGGATTTCATCGTCTCTTGATCTCCTGACCTTGTGATCTGCCTGCCTCGGCCTCCCAAAGTGCTGAGATTACAGGCGTGAGCCGCCACACCCTGCCACACCCAGCTAAATTTTTAATTTTTTATAGAGACGGTTTTGCTATAGGCTCGTCTTGAATTCCTGGCCTCAAGCAATCCTCCCACCTTGTCCTCCCAAATTGCTGGGATACAGGCATGAGCCTGATTCAGTTTTTGACTTTTTTTTTTTTTTTTTTTTTTTAATAGTTTTACTTTCTGCTTCACGGGAAGCTGGCTCATCTTGCTGCTATAAGTTGCCTGGCCAACACGTTCCCTCAGCCATCCCCAAAACTTGCAGACTCATTGTTTCTTATCTGTTTTTAAGTTAAAGGGTGCCAAGTTTGTTAGAAGACTGGTTTAGTGCTGAAATAAAACTCAGGACTAGATACATTAATGATATTCATGGTAGGAAATTTGACATTAGTTTTTTCGTTTAATACTTATTTTGAGCCCTATGTGTGTCAGGTACTGGAGTGAGCAAAACAAAACTGGTGCCTTCTCTGGTGGAATGTATTTTCTTTTTTTTCGAGACGGAGTCTCGCTCTGTTGCCCAGGCTGGAGTGCAGTGGTGCTCGGCTCACTGCAAGCTCCGCCTCCTGGGTTTACGCCATTCTCCTGCCTCAGCTTCCCGAGTAGCTGGGACTACAGGCGCCTGCCACCTTGCCTGGCTAGTTTTTTGTATTTTTTAGTAGAGGCAGGGATTCACCGTGTTAGCCAGGATGGTCTCGATCTCCTGACCTTGTGATCCGCCCATCTTGGCCTCCCAAAGTGCTGGGATTACAAGCTTGAGCCACCGCGCCTGGCTGTGGAGTATACTTACTAGTGAAGAAAGAGACAAATGAAAAGGAAGTCCCAGACTTTCCCCCGTACTGCTTCCCTATAGTAGAAACCCTGGACCCATAGGTAGAGTATGGGGCCCAGACAGTGGTGGCCCAGAAGTATTGTAGGCCTCTTCACATATGTTCTTCTCAGCATTCTACCTACGGTAAAAGTGTAACATTGGTGAATACACTGTAGGAGGTGAGTGTTGGTAGGGCCCAGGGTCTCAGTTCTCTGGTGACCCTGCCTCACTTACCATGGCTAGCATAATTTCCCTTTAAGGAGGAATTTGTACTGCTGTCGTGTTTAAGTGACTGACTGGACATACCCTGTGTGAATGGCAGTTACTGTGAGCATGGCAGACCACTGGGGGGCTCCACATCATGCATAGTTGGGTGCTTTCCTGCCGTGCTGCTGGGCCGTGGTGTGGGTTGGCTGGAATGGTGGAAGGCTTGCTGGTACACCAGTGACAAGGGCCTCAGACTTGAGGCAACATCCTCTGTGGGCTGTGCTCTCCACAGTGGTTCCTCTGCCATCGGACTCTTAATTTTCCCATGACTGTATTTAGATTCACAATAAATACTTTGGTTGTTTCCCAAAGGATATAAATGGTTATAGGATTGTTTTACTGGTAAAGTGCCTGCTGGATGTGAAAGCGCAGGTGGACGGAATCATGCTCTTCACCCAGCTACTTTCACCATTAGATCCGTTATGATAAAGAGAAGGTACAGACCTTAGCCTTTTAGTCAGCTGTTGAGAGTGAATGCAATGCTGGAAAGACCAGGGAAGCTTGGTCTTCTCAGCTCCAAGTGGAAAATTCAGTTATTGATTATCCCTTGTTGACAGGAAGCAAGTTTCAAGCCTTTTTGGTTTCATAGCTATACAGTACTGCTAGTAAAGCTTAACCCAGGGTCAGATCCTTTGCCTCAAAGTGTTGAGTGGCTCACAGTTCTAGAGTGAGTTACAGAGAACGGGAAGATCCTTTGCGGTTTGGTCTTATCCTTCCTACTGGCTTTTTACATCCTCCTCCTTCCTTACTTGAATTCTTGACTTTGTCCATATGTGCCTGGAGTAAGCTCTGCATGTTCTTGCCTCTTGCTGGTGTCTCTGATTGGAAGGCTTTTCTCTCATCTTGTGTTGGAATCCTGCCTGTTCCAAAGAGCCTGTCTCATTTCACATGCTGCATCTTAGATGAAAATTGCCTCAACTTCTCCTTCTCTGTTGGGTGGTTTGAATCACAGCAGTTTGGGCTTCTGTTTCTTTCATGGCAGTTATCGGTCTTTCCCTATTCCCGTCCCCCACCATTATTTGGGTGTTTGTCTTCATTACCTCTTGTAGAATAAATTCCTCTGCAGTACTAGCCTCGTGCCTTGTAAAATCAGTTGCACGAATATTTGTTTTCTGAGTTAAACTGAGAAAATCTAATGGTTATAATTCTCTAATTTCTCATATAGAAATCCATTTAGTGTCTCTGTTTTTAAATTAAGAGCAACTTCTGCTATTTTTGAAGTTTTACAACTTGCATCAAAACCGTAGTACTTTTTATTCTCCAATTTTTCAAAACCTTTTTGTTTTTCTGAAAACTGCCTCTAATATTTAAACATTTTTCCTTTCCCCTAGGTCATTTTGACCTTTTGTGGGTAGCATGGAATTCGCAGATATTTCTTCTCAGTGTAAGCATCAACATGTCTGAAACTTATATTTGCACATCTGTAATGTTACATTTCTGGTAGATGGTAAAAAACAGACATGAGATAAAGTACACTGTACATAGTATAGCAGGATATATATTTTTGCACATAATAACAGGTTTATTTAGTACACCACAGCTTGAAGGCAGTACTCTAGAAGAAAATGGAGATTAAACAAAATTATAAAATCAAAATCAACTGATACTCATTGAGGAAATTTAGGGAACACAGAAATCTGTAAAGGAAAAAGTCACCCATAAGCTCTATAGAGATCATTATTAACATTTTGGCTTTTTTTTTTTTTTTTGAGACAGTCTCCCTCTGTTGCCCAGGCTGGAGTGCAGTGGCGCGCTCTTGGCTCACTGTAACCTCTGCCTCCTGGGTTTAAGTGATTCTTCTGTCTCAGCCTCCTGAGTAGCTGGTACTACAGGTGTGCAGCATATTTTCTTATAGTCTTTTTTTCTGAGTAGAGATAATTTTTTTCTTTTTTCTTTTTTTCTTTTTTTTTTTTTTTTTTTTGAGACAGCGTCTCACTCTGCAGCCCAGGCCGGAGTGCAGTGTCGTGACCTCAGCTTACCACAACCTGCACCTCCTGGGTTCAAGTGATTCTCGTACCTCAGCTTCCCGAGTAGCTGGGATTACTGGTGTGCGCCACCACACCTGGCTAATTTTTGTATTTTTAGTGGAGATGGGGTTTCACAATGTTGGCCAGGCTTATCTCGAACTCCTGACCTCAAGTGATCTGCCCACCTTGGCTTCTAAAAGTGCTGGGATTACAGGCATGAGCCACTGAGCCCAGCTTTGAGTAGAGAAAATTTTTATATTTTCTGTTTTACCTGTAACATTTTGGCAAAATTATTTCTGTATGTTATTATGTATTCTTGTAAATATTTGAAAGCTGGACTCAGTGGCTGACGCCTGTAATTCCAGCACTTTAGGAGGCTGAGGCGGGTGGATCATTTGAGGTCAGGAGTTCAAGACCAGCCTGACCAATATGGTGAAACTCCATCTCTACTAGAAATACAAAACATTAACTGGGTATGGTGGTGCACGCCTGTAATCTCAGCTACTTGGGAGGCTGAGAAACAAGAAATCGCTTAAACCCAGGAGGCAGAGGTGGCAGTGAGCCAAGATCAGGCCACTGCATTCTAGCCTGGGCGACAGAGCGAGACTTTGTCTCAATAAATAAATAAATAAATTATTATAAATATTTGAAAATAATTGTTAATATCCAATTAGGTAGATAGTTGACTAAACTACTCCCTTACGTATACATACATATATTAAATTGTTTTTACTTTATTATTGTTCATAGTTAATTTGTCTCTGTGCGTAACTCCCCTTATCCTTTTGTGTGTGTTTTTGTTTCTGATATGTTTTCTTTGGAAAGGTTCTCAGAAGTAGAAACATTTGGAAAAGGGATGGGAGTACCTTTAAGTCCCTTGCTGCATATCCAGACTGCTTTCCAAAGGATTGTACCCATTCACTTTTCATGGTGGGAGCATACTTTTCACCCGTTTATTTATATATGCTGCTGCTCCTGAGGAGGTTTTTAGAGGCTTAGTTGAAGTCTGTCTGGCTTATAGTGGGGCCCTGCTCTTCTGCTTGATTGCTGATGGTGGAAGGTCTCCTGCTTTACACTGGAATCAGCTTTGCTCTTTCTTCTTTGTAGATCCCAACCTTGATTGACCGGATGCTTGTGTCATCCAACACGAAGACGGGGGCTGCAGGAGCTGAGGCCTTATCTCTCCTACTGAAGAGGCCCTGGGACCCTGCTGTGGGCGTGCTTTCTCATAACAAACCAGTAAGTTGGATGGCTCAGGACTTAACAATGGCATATACAAATTTTAGACTCAAGCCTTAGAACCTTGGCAGGAGGATAAATGGCTTCTTTAACTATTTTTTGTTGTTATTATTTTTTGCGACAGAATCTTGCTCTATTGCCCAGGCTAGAGTGCAGTGGCATAATCTTGGCTTATTGCAACCTCCGCCTCCCAGGTTCAGGCAATTCTCCTGCCTCAGCTTCCTGAGTAGCTGAGATTACAGGCATGCACCACCATGCCTGGCTAATTTTTGTGTTTTCAGTAATGACAGGATTTCACCATGTTGGCCAGGCTGGTCTCAAACTCTTAACCTCAGGTCATCTGCCTGCCTCGGCCTCCCAGAATGCTGGGATTGCAGGTGTGAGCCAGTGCGACTAACCGGCTTCTTTAACTATTACTAGTAATTTATTTTGTATAGTGCTTAACATATTTCACAAGCAAAGGAGCACTGGTTGGGATGAGAAAGGTATTGGGATACTTGGAATTTCATGGAAGAAAACTTCTCACTCACTGGTTTTTGGGTGGGATTCTTCCTCTTTAGAGCAAACTCCCTGGCTCTCCACTGATTCTCATCGCCTCCTCTGGTCCCTCCAGCTCTGTGTTTCCCACTTCACGCCGCCACCGCTTCTGGCAGTCTCAGCTTTCCTGCTTAGGCAAGGTATGTGTGGGGGCAAGAGGAACTCTTCCTGGCAGAGAATATAGTCTTGGAGAATTGAGGAGAAGAATATGTGGGAGGGAGGTCAAAATGGATAACTTGAATGTGGAGCCTCCTCTAACCCTTCTTTCATGTGGAATTCCAAGGTTTAAAGGGTTTGGGGTAGGTTAAACAGAATTGAAAGATGTGAGACTGACCTCTGCTGGTGTGGGGGCTACTTCTTTCCTTCAGGTCATCCCTGTAGCCACCCATCTGCTGAACAATGGCAGTGGGGTAGGAGTTCTACAGTGTCTTGAGCATATGATTGGGGCAGTGAGAAGCAAAGTGCTGGAGGTGAGAATGCCCCTGTTTCAGTGCATTGTGCATACCCAGCATTCTGGGGTTGTTCTGCACCCATCTTTGGCCTCCTGTCTTACTGTCTTCTTTCTCTTCCCATGAAGATTCACAGCCATTTCCCACACAAACCCATTATCTTGATTGGCTGGAACACAGGAGCTTTGGTGGCCTGTCATGTGAGTAATTTCTATCTTATTTGGAGGTTGTTCTGGGACGGAATACCACTAATGACAGCTGCCATTGAGTCCTTTACTATGTTTCAGGCTCTGGGCTAGATACTTTACCTATGTAATTGCATTTTAAACTGTAGAGGACAAATTTTATTAAAACAGTTTTTAATTTATTCAGGAAAACTTTAAGCAGAAACAAAAGCAGGTATAGTATAATAAACCCCCAGGATCCTCACCCAGCTTTACCAGTGATCAACTCTTGGCTGGGCTTGTTTCATCTCACCCTACTCATTTTCTTTCTCCCCCAGATTGTTTTGAAGAAAAATCCCAAATATCATAGCATTTGCGCACACACACACACACACACACACACACAGGCATATATCTGTGGAAAAAATAAAAGGATCCCTTTTTTTCTCTAAACATAAGTACCATACTGTTCTCACACCTAAAAAACAACAATAATTGTAGCTGGCAAATATTAATAGCTCTGGAATTTGATGCTGTGTTCATTTCAGTCCCTTTCCAAGACATCAAGGAATCTTTTCGTATTTTGCATACATTTGTATGTCTGTCAGTTTGTGTAAGTGTCCCTCAGGTGTCCAAAGCCTTAATTTTGCTTCATGCAGTCTAGTCAAGTGATAGCTATGAGAGGAGGAAGGTCCCCATAGTCCTGCTCCCAGGGTGGTGGGCCTCAGCAGTTGCTCCAGGAAATCTAGGCTGTCTGGTCACTATCCATTAAGTTCAATAGAGAAAATTTTTTTTCACTTAAGGGTGAGTGGCAACATTGTGTTCTCTTGACTATACTATTTGTGGAGAAAAATGGAGCAGGAGGGCTCTAGTTGAGGGAGTTGACAGGGTAGGAATATTGAACCTTCTATTCTATGGTTCAGCCACCTGCTGGGGTCCTTTTGGGGCCCCAGTTCTCTAGGTAGTGGCTGCTTATGGAGTGACATACCTTGTGTCTTGTGCTCTTACTGCTGCCATTGTGGCAGAAGGTGCACCCGGATATTAGGACAGGGGAGGAAGAGGTGAGACTCTCTGGTGGGTCTGGACCACTCCTGGATTCTGGGTCAGCTGAGGTGCCATGAACTCAGTTGACCTTTAGACAAACTGTTATGTTATTTACAGGTGTCAGTGATGGAGTATGTCACCGCAGTTGTCTGCCTTGGGTTTCCTCTGCTTACCGTGGATGGCCCCAGAGGGGTAAGAATGTGATAAAGCTGAGTGCTGGGTCATTGGCAGCGGGAGTGTGAGTATGCGTACCTTGTCCAAGCTGATGCTGAGGCCGACTGCAGTTGCACAGCTGATCCTCCTTAGTGGAGTTTCCGGGTCGGTGCTTTGTGAATATGAAGAAGCTGATTCTAAAACCTATACCTGTTTTAGGATGTAGATGATCCCCTCTTGGATATGAAGACTCCGGTCCTCTTTGTCATTGGTCAGAATTCCCTTCAATGTCACCCTGAAGCCATGGAGGACTTCCGGGAGAAGATTCGAGCTGAGAACAGCTTGGTGGTGGTTGGGGGAGCTGATGACAATCTCAGGTGGGTAGATTGTCCTAGAGCTGCAAGAGAGCTGTGTTACAGTGTTAGAGATACGCCTCTAAGCTGGCAATGTAACTACAGACCAGTCTGGTTCAGTTAAAAGACAGCATTAGCCAGGTGTGGTGGCTCATGCCTGTAATCCCAGCACTTTGGGAGGCCAAGGTGGGCGGAAAGGAGATCGTGACCATCCTGGCTAACACAGTGAAACCCTGTCTCTACTAAAAATACAAAAAATTAGCCAGGTATGGTGGTGGGCGCCTGTAGTCCCAGCTTCTCAGGAGGCTGAGGCAGGAGAATGGCGTGAACCTGGGAGGCAGAGCTTGCAGTGAGCCAAGATTATACCACTGCGCTCCAGCCTGGGCAACAGTGCAAGACTCTGTCTCAAAAAAAAAAAAAAAAAAAAAAAAACAACAGGGCAGCATTAAAAAAATCTTTTTTAATATTTGAAATTTCAGATTTATAAAAAGTTATAACACTAGTACAAAAAAATTCCCATATACCCTTCACCTGATTTCTAAATGTTAAACATCTTACATAGCCCAAATCAGGAAATTAACATCGACATGACACTATAATCTACAGACTCACGTTTCATCAGTTGTTTCCCTAATGTCATTTTTCTGGTCCAGCATCCAGCCCAGGATCACACTTGGATTTAGTTGCCATGTCTCCTCGGTCTCCTTTAATTTGATAGAGTTCCTCCATCTTTGTCTTTCACGACCTTGAGCTTTTTTTTTTTGTTTGTTTGTTTGTTTGTTTTTTGTTTTTTGAGGTGGTGCCTGGCTCTGTCGCCTTGGCTGGAGTGCAGTGGTGCAGTCTCAGCGCACTGCAACCTCCGCCTCCCGGATTCTGGATAGAGTTGATCTATTAAGCTATAGGTATAGGAATTCTGGAGCGGACTGTCCTGGGCACTGTGCTTGGTTTGTTTACATATGTTGTTTTGTTTAATCCCCACAACTTCATGAATGAGATGTTATGATTCCCCATTTTGCAGACATAGAAACAGGTTCGGAGAGGTTGCATTACCTAAGGCTAACATGGCCCTCCTGGGGCTAGAAAATAGCCCAGAAAATAAATACTTTCTTATTTTCATAAGATGCCATGGAATTAAGAAGTAAACATGTCATCCGTTTTGTTTCTTAGAATAAGCAAAGCAAAGAAGAAATCAGAAGGGTTGACTCAGAGCATGGTGGACAGATGTATACAGGTAAACAGTTGTTTTGTGTGCTTTTCTCAGCTAGGCTTGCCTTTCTGTAGCCTTGTAGGTTTGGTCTTATTAGTAGTAGCCTCTTTGGCTCTGAAGGCCTCCGCTGGGGCCTCTGGTAGGTCTCAGTCATAAACAAAGCAAAGAAAAATGAGAGTGGTGAATTAATGTAAGCAAAGCATCAGGAGGGAGAGTGTTGGAAAAGTGGTGGAGTGTGACCACCCCGGAGCTCCCCCTGACAGAGACACTTGCTGGTCTTCTCGAACCACAGTTGCTCAGAAGCCTGGGATTTGCACCAGGCCTCGTTTGAGTGGGGAAGGACTGGCACATCCAGATGCCAGAGCTGAGGGAGAATCTCTTAGTTGGTAAGTATCTGAGAGGTTCCCATTCTCCAGATGAGGACTAAAAGGCCTTGGTTGGCTCCTCTCTACACTAGGATGAGATTGTGGACTTTCTGACTGGAGTGCTCACTCGTGCTGAGGGTCACATGGGCTCTGAACCTCGGGATCAGGATGCTGAGAAGAAGAAGAAGCCCCGCGATGTGGCCCGCAGAGACTTGGCCTTTGAAGTCCCTGAGCGGGGCAGTCGACCTGCCTCCCCGGCTGCCAAGCTGCCCGCCTCACCCTCAGGCTCAGAGGTAGTATGAGCAGGGAGGGAGCACTTTTGCTGGGGAATCAGCACCGCAGAGTTGGTTCCTTAACTTCCTGGGGATGCCTCTGTCTTGTTAGTGCCATGGGCCTGTGAGTTCCTACCAGGGGAATTCCAGAGGGACGTGCTGACTCATGGTCAGAATCTAATAACATTGGCTCATCTCTTGGCCTTCTCACCTTGCTCAGGATCTCTCCAGTGTGTCCAGCAGCCCCACCTCCAGTCCCAAGACCAAAGTGACCACGGTGACCTCTGCCCAGAAGTCCAGTCAGATTGGAAGCTCTCAGCTGCTGAAGAGACATGTGCAGCGGACAGAAGCTGTGCTGACCCACAAACAAGCTCAAGGTATAGGCACCCGGCCGGGGGCTCCTCCTGGGGCTCCTCCTGGGGCTGTCTGCTGGAGTTCATGCCACGTGGCGGCTGCACAGTATTGATATTTACGGCTTTTTTCAGGCGGATGGGAGGCACACTTTCTCACATTTCTGTGCAGGCAAAGTTCAAAATTAATTACTGAAATGAATGGCAAGGCCTCTGAGGGAGTGGGGCTTTGTGATCACTAGTTACAGCTTTGTCTTGCTGTTCTGGGGAGGCTAGGCTTTATGAACATGCATATTGGCCTAAACTTTCTTCTACCTTGCCAGCCACTCCTCCAGTCAGGGCTCTCTGATCATAAGTATTGGGTGATTGATTTTATTAATCAGATTCTAGGGCAACTCACCTGGCATCATGCCCGCTCTTTGTTTGACCCTTGAAGCATTAAGATTCTTACACTGAGACTTTCAGTGAAGTTTATCCGGGTTCTCTGCAGACAGGTTTCAGATGAGGCTGGGAAGTATTCATATAGTCGAAAGTAAGAGTTTGGTGAGCTGCAAGTGCTATGAAAGGAGCTATAGAAAAGGGAGAGTTCACTGGGGAGGGAAAGAAGAAACAGTGCTCTGTCCCCCTCCCCCACATGGATCCAGTTGGGTGGCCTTGAGGTAAGGCTTCTTGGGCATTGGTGTTTAACGGTGTGTCCAGGAGCTTGTGTCACCTGAGCCTCTAAGGAATAGGGGTGCCTGGGAGGAGGCAGCAGCCGGAGCTGGCTGTCTGGCAGACAGACGTGGAGGGGATAGGAGGCTCATCTGTTTACTTTCCCTGTGTTTCTTTTAGTGGAGCCAAAGGATCAGAACCGAAACCCAGACCTCTTGTGAGTTTGCTTGTAAGAGTAGCACTAACAAGGAGTAGAAAAGTATGAGTGAATGGGAGGAGTTGAGAAATGAGGCCAGGCCCCCAGGGTCTGCGCGGATGCTGTGCCATGGATCTTCATGAGTGGTGGCCAGAGCCAAGTCCCTTGTGGACAGTGTGTCTTTACACTTCTGATGAAGACAGAGCTGGTGATGTGCTGTGCTTCTGGAGAGGGTGATTAGTTGAGAATCTAAGGACTTTGGAAGGCTGATTGGCGAGCTGGGTTTGAAATGGAGACCTAGGGTTTCATGGGGGAGAGTAGCAGCTTTAGAACTCTGGCTTAGCAGAGCTGATGGGCAAACAGGGAATATTAATAGCAAACATACATGGAGTCCTTCTTCATGGCACTCGCATTGCTGTAGTTTGTTGAGTTTTGGCATAGCCCCATGAGGCAGGTAGTACTAGTCAGTTTTAGATGCTTCTACAGACCGACTCCATGGCAGAGTCAGGTTGCTTTGCAGTAATTTCAGAAGGAGCCCCTATTGGCCATTTTCTACAACCTTTTTTCTTATTCCCTCTCTTTTTCTCCCTTCTCTGGCTGGCTGTGATTCTGTAATTCTTTCTGATTCATTCCAGCACAGTTTGCTGCTTTTCTGAAACAAAATATGCTGGTGAGGAAAGCTCTTCCTCCTGGCACCTCCTCCTGTCTCTTTGGTGAGTATTACTCTTTCTTGCCTGCTCATCCACTGCGTTCTGCTTCTCAACCCCTTATTTATTTTCCATCTCTCCCTCTCTTCTGCCTCAGTTTGGTTTCCTCCTGTTCTTTTCTCTCTTTTTCTTTGTGTTCTTTTGTTTTGCTGACCCCTGCTGCTTACTCTGTAGTCTTTGCCCTTTTTCCATTCTTTTGTTTGCTGCTTAGGGTATTTTCTTTTTTGTCTCTTAGTGTGGTTCTTTCTTTCACTGTGGTCTTGGCTCTGCTGCTTTTTTTGTATGCCTATGGCACTGCCTGTGAGTCTCAGTTTCCTTGTGTGTTTTTCTCCCTGCCTCTTGTCCTGTGTTTATCTGGTGGCTACAAGCCCACCAGCCACATATCAGCATAGAACCTGAAACTCCTTTCCCCTCCACCCTCCTTCCTACTCTGATTTTAGCCAATGCATTTGTCCCCTAAGCAATCCTTCTAGCTGGTTATGTCCTGACTGTTACCTCATGCCAGGACCCCTCCTCCATCCTCATGTGACTGCTGCCTTCCTCCTCACCCCAGTCTTTGCTTCCCTATGCTACAAGAGAACTAGGGTAGACTTCTGGGTTTAAAGAGGAGGGAATCTTTGAGGAAGCTTGAAAGATAACCTAAGAGTCCAAAAAGCTTGGCTGTATACATGATGAGCCTGTTTGATTCGGTGGAAGTGGAAGCCCATGAACAGATGGCCTTTGTCTGCGCTAGTACACATGACCTGGGGACCAGGTTGTGACATGGGCCAGTGTTGCCCTGTTACTGCTGGGCAGGAGCCGTGAGGTTGCCTGGTCGAGGTCCTCTCTCCTAGTAGCTCCTCATAGCCAGCTTTCAGTCCTGGTGACAGTCCTCTTCACTGCCTCCGTTTGGCAAGTGAACCTCAACCCTGGGCTCTTAGGGCAGGATGGGACTCTTGAGAGCCTTTTGGAAAACTCTGCTTTTCAGAGAGAACTGGATGACCTGCTCCTCCATGAGTTCTCATAGAATGTTTAATGTCCCCAACTGTGGGATGATGTGGGGAGGGCTTGAGACAGGAGGAAGACCACACTTTTTGAGTCTGGGAAGGGCTGTTTACTTACTGTGTTGAGTCCTCTGTTGTTGTTGTTGCTGTTGTTGTTGCTGTTGACCTTGGCCAGGCAGGGCCAGGGTGCCTTCTGTGTAATTCCTACCAACTCAGGCCCCTCCCTTCCGATTCCAGTGCAGGATGAGGGATGAGAAGGGAGCCATCCTCTAACAAGGGCAAAGTGGGGCCCCCCACGGGCAGGGCCTGAGTGAAGCTGTCCTGAAGCATGGGCAGTCTCCTTTGAGGGGTAGCCCTGGACGTGGAGTGGTTCTCCTGTGCGGTTCACACACGGCTGTGTTGGTGCTGCTATTGACTGAGTGTCTGTGCGGTTCACACACGGCTGTGTTGGTGCTGCTATTGACTGAGTGTCTGTGCGGTTCACACACAGCTGTGTTGGTGCTGCTATTGACTGAGTGTCTGCTGGGCTTTTTTGGATTGTGGAGGATCTGAACTCAGCTCCATCTCTTAGTTCCCATTTCATCAGAACCACCGGAGGAAGGAGAGAAAGAGGATCTTAGGGTTCAGCTGAAGCGACACCATCCCTCGAGTCCCCTTCCTGGCAGTAAGACCTCCAAGCGACCAAAGATCAAGGTGTCCCTTATCTCCCAAGGGGACACAGCTGGAGGGCCTTGTGCTCCTTCCCAAGGAAGTGCTCCAGAAGGTGAGTTTCTCTTGCTACGTTAAATGAGAACTGACCTCTCCTAGGTACACAGCATTGCCCTTTGGCGGCCACTCACCAGCATGTCAGCCTTTGCTTCATTTGGAGAGATGCTCAGAGCAAAGAAGGCATGAGGCTATACATGTGGGTAAAGTGGGCGTGAGCCCATCTGAATGAGGACCGGGCAGCAGGCAGAATACGAGAGGAAGCTGTGCCGTAGTTCAAAGCATCGTATATTTTGTTCCTTTTTTGTTTGCTTCAATTAAAGGTACAGAATATTTCAGGAAGTTTAGAAAATAGAAGGAAAAAATAACCGCAGCTCTCTCTACTCTAGCATAGTTCATCTTTTTTTCCTCTTCCAGTTCTTGTTCGTAATATCTTGCGTTTAGCCTAAACTGTGGAACTTGGAAACGTAGCGGCCAAATAAGACTGACCGGGGCCTTGGTGTTTTCTGTTTCACAGCTGCAGGTGGGAAGCCCATCACCATGACACTGGGGCAGGCTTCAGCAGGAGCCAAGGAGCTCACAGGACTTCTCACCACAGCCAAGTGAGTGTTTGTTGGACCATCTGTGTCTATTCTTTTTTCCCTTCCCTCTGCTTCTGGTTCATTTAGTGCTTTGGAAAATGATGGATTCTGGGTTCTCTCAGTTTGGGAAATGTGACTTCCTTCTGATAGGGATCTTTGTCTTGCTTTTGGGTCAACCCAGAGTTCATTTTTACTTCAGATTCCAAAGTGTCGCCTGCCTTTTGCTGCAAGTCCTGTAAGTAAGGACTTTTAGAAAACTAGAGGCCAGGTTCAGAAAGTGGAACAAAGAAGCTGAAGATTCTCGGTGTGTGTCTGCTGCTGAAAGCCTTGCTGGGCCCCACTCTGTACCCTACCTGTGTTGCTAGGGCTTGCTGCCCTGTGACCTTTGGATAACAGAGCTCCTTCCTTTGTCTCCAGGTCCAGTTCTTCTGAAGGTGGAGTCTCAGCCAGCCCAGCCCCTTCAGTGGTCTCCAGCAGCACTGCACCCAGTGCCTTGCACACACTGCAGAGCCGCCTGGTGGCTACCTCTCCTGGCAGCTCCCTCCCAGGTATCTTGTGGCCCAGCATTCTCCCCTTCCAACACAGAATTTTTGGTCTGCTGCTGGTAGGTGGTCCTGGGAAAGCATCCCTGGAGCTGAACCCACAGCATGGGCCTCTGGGTCTTAGAGTGATCATAGAGGCTTTACGTGAAACTGGAATTAGCTTGGGCAGAGGGATTCCTTGGCCTTGAATAAATGCAGTGAGTAAATGTCCTGGTCTGCAGGTGATTAAATGTTCCAGTCTACAGGTGCTGTATCCTCTACTGTAAGGAGAAATAGCCGATAGGACATATATGTATAGTCAGCCTTTCTTATCCACAGGAGATTGGTTCTAGGACCCTCACCACTACCAAAATCCATGGATGCTCAAGTCCCTTATATGAAACTATGTCATACAGTTGGCATTCCATATCCACAGGTTTCTATCCGTGCGGTCGTTTGAATCTGCGAATCTGCTGCGAAGCCCACAGATAATTGAGGGCTGACTATGGTTTTATTTTGCTGTTTTAAGCACATCTGACTGAATAAAACTGGAAATGGTGCTACACTGGGCATTAGCAAAATGAGACATTTTTCTGTCTGCGCTTGTCTCTCACTTTGTCCTACCCACTAACGCTACTTTGAAAGACTTGTTGCCTGAGCCCAGCAGGGCCAAGGCATTGCAGAAACCCTTCTCCTGGACAGGCACGGTGGCTCAAGCCTGTAATCCCAACACTTTGGAAGGCCGAGGTGGGTGGGTCACCTGAGGTCAGGAGTTTGAGACCAGCCTGGCCAATATGGTGAAACCCCGTCTGTACTAAAAATACAAAAAATTAGCTGGGTGTGGTGGCGGGAATCTGTAAACCCAGCTACCTGGGAGGCTGAGGCAGGAGAATTGCTTGAACCCGGGAGGTGGAGGTTGCAGTGAGCGGAGATTGCGCCATTGCACTCCAGCCTGGGAAACGAGTGAAACTCCGTCTCAAAAAAAAAAAAAACAAAAACAAAAAACCCTTCTCCTTTAAGAGAACCTTTCTTACTGCTTTGAGGCTGCTTCCTTTCTGCTTTGTTTGTGTGAGGCGAAGTGAAAGTTGGGTATTTAGCATTCTTTTGGCTTTAAAAGTTCTTCTTCCCTGGAAAGAAAGGAACAAACTTGGATTTCTCAAAATGGCCCAAAATGTATGACTGATGGTTTGCAGCAGGTGCAGAGCAAATCCGGGGCAGTGTCTGGCACGGTACCTTTCCTGTGTGGCATCCACTGCGTGTGTGCCTGGCTGGGGAGACCTTCTTGCCTTCTTTCTGAGGACGGGGGTGTCCAAGGGCAAGCACCATTGGTGTTTTAGTTGGTGGTGAGGGTGGATGGATGTGGCTGCTCTTGGGATAGTGCAAGTGATTGAGTCTCTACTGATTCCTGCTATGTCCTCTCTTAGGGGCCACATCAGCCAGCAGCCTCCTCCAAGGCCTCAGCTTCAGCTTGCAGGATATCAGCAGCAAGACCTCTGGCCTTCCAGCAAATCCCTCCCCAGGACCAGCCCCCCAGGTGCACATCTGCCATCTGCCGGGCTGGGCAGGTGTAGGGAGGAGGCCTCCTCAGCTCAGTTGGTTTTGGTAGGGAATCTAGGTCCGGAGTCAAGTGGGTCAAGGACAAACAGCCTTCTAGCTACACAGCAGGGTGGTTCCAAAGGTTAAGGCCTATCATTTACTGTGTGACCTTGTGCAAGTTTCTTGACCACTCTGTTTTTGTTTCCTTGTCTATAAAATGAGGTAATAATAGTACCTCCCTCATAGAGTTGTTGTAAGAGTGAAATAATATATGCAGAATGCCTGGAAGAGTACCTTGCATGTAGTAGGCACTCAATACGTGTTAGCCTTTAATAATATGCTGTGGGCCCTCCAAACTCGAACGTTGCTGTTGGGCGACAGCTTCTGATCACCTGGGCTTGTGTGTCCCACAGGCCACCAGTGTGAAGTTGCCCACCCCCATGCAGAGCCTGGGTGCCATCACCACGGGCACCAGCACCATTGTCCGTACCATTCCTGTGGCCACCACTCTCTCCTCCTTGGGTGCCACTCCTGGTGGGAAGCCCACAGCCATCCACCAGCTGCTGACCAATGGGGGCCTCGCTAAGTTGGCAAGCAGCCTCCCTGGCCTGGCTCAGATCTCTCACCAAGCGTCAGGTGAGTCTCATGAGAGCTGTGGGGACTCCCAGGTCTGGGGTCTTCCCCCGAGGACCTTCCCATCTCATGTGGGCAAGGTGTGATGTTGAAACCAGTCCCACAGGGTCCTGGCATTGACCTTCGGATTCCGCTGTGTGGACCTATCCCCCAGAGAGGTTGAGCGAACACAGGCTGTTTCCTGTTGCCTTTCAGATTGACCGATAGTGCATAGATGACCCAGCTGGGGAGGAGGCCAAGGGACTGTGTTATGTGGGGGAGAACCTCTCCAGGAAAGGAAAGCCTCAGCAGAAGGTGGAGAGTGTGACTCAAAAATACTGCTTCTCTCTCTTTATCTCAGGCTTGAAGGTCCCCACCACCATTACTCTGACACTTCGTGGCCAGCCGAGCAGGATCACCACACTGAGCCCTATGGGCTCAGGAGCAGCCCCATCCGAGGAGCCCTCTTCCCAGGTGCTGCCCTCCAGCTCACAGGTGAGTCTGCCAGGAAGGACTGAGGACATGGGCTTCATTGTTGGGAAGTTTGAGACCAGCTGACTGGCCGATTGAAGGGGCTGCCCATGCACTGGACAGACGAGATTCAGGTTCAAATTCAAATCTGAACTCTGGAGTTTGTCTTTGTAATACTGAGCGAATCATGGACCTCTTTGAGCCTCCTCTTCTACATCTCTCCCTGGATATTGTGAAGATTGTGTATGTTCAAGTGGGTCGCAGTGCCTAGTATTTAATGTTTTTGTTTGCTTTTCCTTTCGTTTCATTTTTTTCCTCATCCTTGGTTTCATCCTTCAGAGTTGTGAGTAGAGGCTACTTAGCCAATGCTCTTTCTTTGTTTTTATTTTTATTTTTATTTTTTGAGATGGAGTCTTGCTGTATCGCCCCAACTGGAGTGCAGTGGTGCGATCTCGGCTCCCTGCAACCTCCACCTCCCTGGTTCAAGCAATTCTCCTGCCTCAGCCTCCCAAGTAACTGGGATTACAGGCACCTACCACCATGCCCGGCTACAACAGGGTTTCACCATGTTGACCAGGCTGGCCTCGTACTCCTGACCTCAAGTGATCTACCTGTCTCGGCCTCTGAAAGTGTTGAGATTACAGGCGTGAGCCACCGCTCCTGGCCCTTTCTTTGTTTTTTTTTTTTTTTTTTTTTTTTTGAGACGGAGTCTCGCTCTGTCGTCCAGGCTGGAGTGCAGTGGCCGGATCTCAGCTCACTGCAAGCTCCGCCTCCCGGGTTTATGCCATTCTCCTGCCTCAGCCTCCCGAGTAGCTGGGGCTACAGGCGCCTGCCACCTCGCCCGGCTAGTTTTTTGTATTTTTTAGTAGAGACGGGGTTTCACCGTGTTAGCCAGGATGGTCTTGATCTCCTGACCTCGTGATCCGCCCGTCTCGGCCTCCCAAAGTGCTGGGATTACAGGCGTGAGCCACCGCGCCCGGCCTCTTTCTTTGTTTTTAAGGACATGGGGACAGAGATATCTCACTATGTTGCCCAAGCTGGCCTCGAACTCCTAGGTTTAAGCTGTCCTGCCTCGGCCCCCAAGCATAATACTCTTTCATTGACGTTGGCTTTCCAGCACTGTGCCTTCCCGTATCTTAGCATGTATGGCTGTCTTTTTAGGGCACAGCTAGGTTTTTATAGGTCTCACCCAGGAAGTCATGATTAGTTTCTCTTAGCTGATCTGATTTCCATTGTGACCTTTTCAAGTCAAATGTTTCTAATCTTAAAACGGTGATCTGAGGAGCCACTCAAAGATAAGAAGTTAAGCCAAAAAAGAGTTCGAATCTAGTATCGAGTGTGCTTTCCTTCAGTATCTCCTGTGCAGCTGAGGCCTTCCTGTGTCTCCCTGTCCTTTCCGCCATGTCAACCTGCTTGTGAACTGGAGGTGCAGTGATAGTTCCTGAGCCATTCTAAAAGCTCTTCTGTCACTTCCTCTCCAGGGAAAATACTGCACAGAGGTCAACACCTGACATTCATTGGGATCATAGCTACCTTTTTTTGCAGAGGGATGGAAATGTTTTAATTTTATCTTGTTTCTTATTTTTTCAATTATAAAAATGATTATGCTTATTTTAAATAATTCAAACATGTTAGAAATAATTAATTTAGAAAGGGAAAGTTTCCCATGATGCTACTCCCAGAGATGATGATCACTGTTCATAGCTTGATATGGATCCATTCAGATTTTTTTTTCTACACAAAGTATGTTATTTTATTTGTTTTGTACAAATGTGGGATTACAGAGTATGGACTGTTTTGCAACTTGCCTTTTTTTATAAATCATGTCATGACACATTTCTCTGTCTACGTCTTTCAGAGACTGGCTAGTATTTCACTGAGTAGATGCAAGAAGATGTATGTCACCACCTTCTGTTAGGTAGATAGCTGGGTTCTCTTCTGGTTTTTGATATTTTAAATAATGCTCTGGTGAACACTCTTGCTTATTCTTGTGTACCTTTGGGAGCATTTCTCCAGGCTAGAGAGTAAGTAGAGAATGTGTACGTCTAATATCTGGGCAGCTGCTCACTAACTGCCCTTCCAAAAGTTTTTGCTACTTTACAATGCTAGCCACAGTGATGAAAATATCTGTTTCATATTTTGTGGAAATCAGTATTTTTAACTTGATTAATCTGGGTGAAAAATGAATTTGTTTTAATATGCATTTTCCTGATTACTTAAGAAGTTTTATGTCTTTTATGAAATGTTTGTCATACTCTGCGAATTATAGTGGCTTTATTCAGATGTTAATTCTTTATCTGTTACGCAAGTTGCATATATGTTATTCCTGTCAGTGGCTCATCTTTATTTTTTCTTCTGTTGAAGCATTCATTGAATGTCAGTCATTTAACTTTTATTTCTGGATCATACAGCCATTTAAATTTTTCATATAGTAAAATCTTCAAATATTTTCCTTTGTAGCTCCAAAGTTTTATGCCTTAAGAACGCTAGCCCTATCACAAGGATATAAAAGTAATCCTTTTTCCTTTTAAAATTTGAATTGTGGTAAAACATCTGTAACATACAATTTACCATTTTAGCCATGTTTCAAGCTGACAGTTGAGTAGCATTGAGTACATTCACATTGTGGTGCAGCCATCGCCATCATCCAGCTGCAGAACTTTGCTGTCATCCCATGAAACTCTGTGTGTTTGCTGTCATCCCATACTGAAACTCTGTGTGTTTTCTTATGATGCTTTGTTTGTTTCCTTTAATTCCTTATAGTTCACTTGTGTATGTTAAGTGAGGTAAGGATGAGTCCATTCACCATTCGTCCACTCATCTAGAATCCACTGCTCTTACATTCTAAAGTACTGAACACACATGGGCCTGTTCTGTAGTTTTGAATCTGTCTATCCTATGCTGGCTTTCTGTTACGGGCTGATAGTATGGATCTTGAAGTTAAGGGAGTGTCGATTCTGTTTCTAGTTTGCTAAGATAATCTTCATTCTTTTCCTTTCTCTTGATAGTTTTGAATTTTGAATTTTGTCCATTATTGTTTTAGAATCATATGAAACGAATGAGGATAAACATTTCCCTTTTTTTTTTTCTTTTGTTTGAGACAGAGTCTCACTCTTGTCACCCAGGCTGGAGTGCAGTGGTGCGATCTCAGCGCACTGCAACCTCTGCCTCCCAAGTTCAAGCGGTTCTCCTGCCTCAGCCTCCTGAGTAGCTGGGACTATAGGCTTGCGCTACCACCCCCAGCTAATTTTTGCATTTTTAGTAGAGACGGGGTTTCACCATGTTGGCCAGGCTTGTCGTGAACTCCTGATCTCAAGTGATCCACCCACCTCGGCCTCCCAAAGTGCTGGGATTACAGGCGTGAGCCATCACGTCCGCCCAACATTTTCTTTTAATCAGTTAAAATGATGAGTTACTTTAATAGGTTTCCTAATATCAAACTGTGTGAATTCTAGATTCAGTGGCAGAATAGTGTCCTGTTCTTTTTATTGTACATACAAAGGCAACAAGACCCTATCAAAATGAAAAAAGAAAGAAGCTAAGCGTTTCAAAAGAAAAGCATGTCTATTCTATTTGCTTTTATTTTACTTAGGATTTTGTCATCTATATTAATCTATTCAGGCTTTGGCCCATAGTTTTCTTCCCCTCCACCCCCTACTTTTGTGTGTGTGTGCTTTTCTTTGTCTAGTTATGTAAAAGGGGTAATTCAATCCTTGTAGAATGAGATGGGAAGTGCTTTACCCCTCTCAAACTCTAAAACAATTTTATAGTACAGAAATGATAGTTCCTTGATGATTTGATAGACGTGACCTACAAAGCCATTTGGGCCTGTTTTTAGAGTGTCTTCACCTTTGCTGATGCCAGGTTGATCCACAACTAGAACACAGATCCTGCCGTGTGGTCCCTTCCTCCTGCGTTAGGTAATCCGTCTCAGCTTGCCGTGGCCTGGGCAAGCTGGTTACCACTGAGAAGAGAGTAGAGGTCGTTGAGAATCCACCTTGTCCGTGGCTCTGTTGAAGCACAGACTAAAGATCGAGGTCCGGCCTTCTAACTGATGATGTTAACATGAGATTAGTTTTCATCTTAATAGAACGGGCGAAGGCTGGGCCTGGTGCCTCACGCCTATAATCCCAGCACTTTGGGAGGCCGAGGCAGGTGGATCACGAGGTCAAGAGATCGAAACCATCCTGGCCAAAATGGTATGAGAGGGCAAAATACAAAATGGTGTGAGAGGGGAAAACCCGTCTCTACTAAAAATACAAAAATTAGCCGGGCGTGGTGGTGGGCACCTGTAGTCCCAGCTACTCGGGAGGCTGAGGCAAGAGAATCGCTTGAACCCGGGAGGCGGAGGTTGCAGTGAGCCGAGATCGCGCCACTGCACTGCAGCCTGGGCGACAGAGCCAGACTCCGTCTCAAAATAAGTAAATAAATAAATAAATAAAATGAGTATGTAATTGCTAGGAGGGGTCAGATGGTGATTCTTTTCTAACAATTAAGGGGATGTTATTAGATTAAGGCTTCTTGCTGATTCAAAAGCTTCTAATAGTTAACTCAGTGTTCAGACTGCCAGACAGAGCACTGGACTATGGGTCAGGTCGTCTGTTTTCAGCCAGCTGTGTGATCCTGGGCAAATCACCTAGCCTTCTGGGCTTTGGTTTTCTTACCTGGTGTAGTGAGGAAGTTGACTTAATTCAGTGACTGTTGTGGTGGCAGGATCAGAATCTCCTCAGGCTTTGGGAATCTAGGTGTTTTAATGCTTAGAAAAAAAACTACCCATCTTTTGACATTTGTGAGGCAACTGGAAATTTGAACACTGACCGGATACTTGTTGATAATTACAGAATTGTTAACCTTTTTAATGTGTGATAATGCTATTGTTGTTAGGATTTTAAAACAGTCCTTTTTAATTTTAGGGTTCCATACTGCAATATTTATGGATGGAGTGAATGTAAAAAGAAAAGTGGACACCAATTAGACTGCTCTAAGATCTGTATAAACACCTAATTATCTGTTTCGTTTCTGGCACGGATTGGTGTTTACCGCGTTTCCTTCATGGGAATGGACTGTTGTGGACTCCTCAGCTGAGAAGCTGCAGGGAGGAAGAGAACAGGCAGAGACTCTGTTGTGCCCTGCATCAGAGTCCAAAAAATGGACTCCCTACCTGTGGTTATAAGACCTCTGTCCTGCTGGCCATACCAGGACCTTGTCAACCTGGCAAGCAGCACCTCTAGCTGGCGGCCTATGGCAGTGGCCTCACTGTAGCCTTGTAGCAGGCTGTGGGCAAGCTGGCTCACTCTAAGGTGTATTCATAATCAGAATAGAGTGATCATCTGTGCACAGCCCTGCCTTTGGACAGGGAAGCCCATGAGGTTTTGTTTTCGTTTTTTATTGAGATGGGGTCTTGCTGTATTGCCCATGTTGGTCTGGAACTCCTGGGCTCCAGCAGTCTTCCCACCTCAGCCTCCCAAAGTGCTAGGATTGAAGTCATAAGGTTTGATTGTCAAACCCTTCTTCATTGGTGTGATTATGACTCACTGCAGCCTCAACCTCTTGGGCTTAAACAATCCTGTGGCCTCGGCCTCCCGAGTAGCTGGGCCTATAGGCATGCAGCACTATGCTCACCTAATTTTTGAAAAAATTTTGTAGAGATGGGCTAAGTTGCCCAGGCTGATCTTAAACTTCTGGGCTCAAGCAGTCCTCCTGCCTTGGCCCCCCAAAGTGTTGGGATTATAGGCATGAGCCGCCTCGCCTGGCCTTCCCTCCTTTACTGCATTCTCAGAGACCTCTTGGGAGTTTCCCAGTGGGGAGACTTAGAAAGGTGGGGAAAGCCTTAGTGACAAAGGCCACCTCCCTACTCACTTCCTTATTCTTAAGCTGCAGGGTTCAACATTGATGGCATCCCCCCACACCTACATGTCTAAGGCCTCAGAATCAGAACAGTCATGGAGATCTTCCCTTCTGTTCTATTGCCCTTAAAAACTCACCAATTTCCTTTTTCTGCATTCCTTTTCTGTCCTCATGCGTAATAATAAGAGGTGACCTTTGTTGTTGAGCACAGATTACACTCAGGTGCTTTATGTGGATTACTTCATTTAATCCTTACAGTGACCCTGGAAAGTAGATGCTGTCATCTGCCTCTTACAGGCGAGGAAAAGGAGGCTCAGAGAACATAGGCACTTGCCTTAAAAAGTGGAAAGTTGAGTCTCTGACTCTAAGAGTCCATGTTCTGTTAACCACTTGGCAGCTACAACACATGTCCTTGTGTATCCAGCTTCTTTCCTATTGAGAATTACTTCTTTAAAATAAATTCTCAGGAGTCAAGATAATTGGGTTAGAGGGTCTGAATGTGATGATAACCTGTCAGAACTTTGACCCTTCTTCACTACCTCTCCTGCCACAGCGCCTGCCTCCAGCACCCTGAAGATGCTGTGTGATATGTCCTCCTTACCAAGTTGGTGATGGCTGCCTCATGGTGGGCCCTGGGCACGTGTGTGGTCCTGCTGAGCCGTCCACGTGTCTGAAGACCTCTTTAAGACAGTCATTTTTGCCTCTCCGCCAACTGTCTTCAGAGTTGGGCTGTTGAGTCTTCAGAGAAACCATTAGGTTAGGTGATATGGTGCCAGCAAGGGAAGCACCATCGTCCAGGATCTGCAGATCTGGTTCCTGGGATCCCCAGACTCCTCAGCAGATCTGGCTGTACCTGGATCAGAGCCACTTCTTCCCCCGCTAAAGCTGTGGTTTGACCCAAGGGTCAGTATATAGGACTCCCTGCTGCATTTAATGAAGATGTTTCCTTTTGGAAGTCTGTGCTACCCTCTGCGCCCAGCTGGGAGGAGACATCCATCTGGTCTGGGGTTTCGGGAGTTAGAATGGAAAGCCCTTTGCTAAAGACTGGAGTCATCTGGCCTGCCAACTGGTGGTTCAGAGCCGGAAGGGCTTGTTTAGGTCGTCACTGTTGCCTTCATCAGCAGCCATGGGAGAGTGCTCCCCATGCAACCCCACCTTAGAAACCACGTCATGCTGAGTAGCTTGCTGACACCTGAAACTTCTGGTTTTTGTTAGTGTCACAGTGAAGGCAAAGAGAACTGGGCCGTCATCTTTCAGCCTCGTTGATTTACTCTAGATGTTGGGAGCGGTGGATGCCAGGTGAAACCTGGCCCCTTTGTCGTTTTCACCGTGCTTTGGGCAGTTTCTGTATCCAGAGAGTCCGCAGGTTCAGGTAAGCTGAAGAGGAGGAGTAGAACAGCAGAGGAAGTGGCTCGAAGGACATGCCAGTAAGCCCGGTGGTTTGTGCTTAGGTCTCTGCTCTGCCACCCAAGGAACTAGTGATTCAGCTGGAGATAAAAAGAAGAATTTGCCAAGTCAGAGAAGAAACCCTAACCCTGGAAAATCCTCTGTCTCCAGTCTCTGGAGGGAAGCAGGGACAACAAGCTAACGTAGTATCTTGACCATCCCAGGAAACTTGTGGCATTAGGACGATGAAGGCCATGCTTCAGTGTTTTTGTTTCTATTTCATGAGACTTTTTGTCTTCCTGCTTACAAGTGGGAAGATGATTGACAGTGACTCTACTATGCAGGGCTGTTGGTACCAACCTGAGCCCTATAGGTGGCAATCCCTGGAGAAGTGGTCACAGAAGATGGAGCTCTGATCCCCTGCTTACCTCTTCCAACACTTGTGTGCAAAGATAGTTTTAGATTTGGTTTAGGAGCCATCCTCCAGAACAGGCTCCCATACTTAGAATGTTTCTAGTTAAGGTAATAAATTAGGCAACCCAAGCGTGACTCTACTCAAGTGTCCTTTTCTGTAGGCAGGAAGGGCCTACGACGTGGCTTAAATAATAGTCCATGGTCCTGACCCACAGTACAGTGTGTATCTACACCGGGCCACCTGTGTTCAATCCGGGAGCCTTTCTGGCCAGTCTGAGTGGCAGCCAGAAGGGAGCTCATAGTGTCTAGGAGTCTCAGGCAAGGTGGGTCAGGGTACTGTGGGCAGGGGGGATGTGTGTGATAGGAGAGGGTACCCTAAACACCATGCCTTCCCTCCCTGACCTGAAAAACTGATCTCAACAGGGATTCACACAGAATTAGGCTGTGTTTTTGCATTAGCTGGTAGGTGACTTTCTCAAAATTCTTAAATTCAGGAAGTATTTAGTAAACTTGAGGAAGGTATGAAATCTGGAGGAGGCATCCAGGACCCAGGGGTTTGATAGCTTTACAGGTAGGATCATACCACACCAAAAGAGCAGTGGACAGTGAGACTATATGAGCTGTATGAAGCTTTTAGGAATCGTTTAGGATAGACAGAGCCCTGAACAACCCATTCATGACTTAAGTTGTTGGCTCAGTGTATGCTGGGGACAAAGAAAAACTAACAAGCCGACCTGCCTTTATGGTAAATTCTAGTGTGCTTGCAAGGGATGACTTCCTGAGGTGTGGTCTATCCACCTTGAAGAACTCCACAACTGAAGAAGGGGAGCTGTGAGAACATGGATTGTTCTACACCTTGGACAGGGTGACGGAGGAAGTGGCTGAGGCCTACTAGAGTCATGTTTTCCAGTTCCCTTCGCAAACTATTTCCTGGAACGCGAAAGGAAGGTTTACCTATTTCCTAGAACACCTGGAATCCATAACCTCAGAAAGTGATACTATTGGTAGAAAATGTGGAAGGATCAGGAACGTCTTAGATTCTTGGATGACAGATGTATGTTGATGCCCTATGGAGATGTCCTTGTGCTTTGAGGTCACCGAGGCAGGAAGACCTGTCTGCTCTTGGTCTCACCACTAGCACAGTCTTGGGCTGGATGAGTTATAGAGCTGAGGGGCTGTGATGGTTCTGTTCTTACATTAAACAATTAAAAACACCAAAAACAACATTTGGATTGCTTCAGCTTCTTTTCAGTTGACTTCTTATATGTATTCTGGTAACCACCCAATGAAGTGGGCACAGAAGATAGCGCTAAGATATTGTAAGGCCAGTGATCATCACCTCACCAATGCCAGGTGGTGTGAGGTGGTACTCTAATTTCCTTTTGGTTTTTTGGTTTTTTTTCTTTTTGAGATGGAGTCTCGCACTGTCGCTCAGGCTAGAGTGCTGTGGTGCTATCTTGGCTCACTGCAACCTCTGCCTCCTGGGTTCAAGCGATTCTCCTGCCTCAGCCTCCCAAGTAGCTGGGATTACAAGCGCCCGCCACCACACCCAGCTATTTTTTTGTATTTTTAGTAGAGACGGGGTTCCACTATGTTGGCCAAGCTGGTCTCAAACTCCTGACCTTGTGATCCGCCCACCTCAGCCTCCCAAAGTGTTAGGATTACAGGCATGAGCCGTTGCGCCCAGCCTGTAATTTCCTGTTTACAAGTGAGGAAACAGGCACAGGGCAGTCAAACAGCAGGAAATGGCAGAAGCAGTACTGGAACCCAAGTAGTCTGATGTCGGTGTCTTTTCTACTTTGCACTGTGCTAGGGTTCTAAGATGGGAGACTGGAAGTAGAGATTAGCCCAAGAGGTGAGAAGATGGTGGCTTGGCCTGCATGTGACCTTTTCAGTTTGCTTCCCACCAGGCCAAGAGTAATCGATGTTGCTATGGTGGGGCTCTTGGCTGAGCTTACGTCAGTAGGTGGGGTCCCTCCACCTTGATCCTGAAAGATCAGTATCCTTTTGCACTTCCCATACCTCCACCCACCCCCAATAAGTACGTAAAGATTTAGAGATGAATGAATGAATTCCAACCTCTAGATTATTCGTTAACTTGTGTTCCGGAGGACCTTCCTTCTAACCCCTAAATTCCAGGTCCCTACCCTTGGCATTGGAGCCCTCTGGGTGGAGGCCATAGTTCTGGTGTGCTGCTTGGAGTGTCCAGTATACCTGGGCACATTGTGTTACCCTCCTTAGTAGACATCTGATTTGCTGTCTTCTCCCTCAAACTCTAGTCTCACTGACTTGAGCAGTCAGCTCAAGCGAGACGAGGATTAGATTGTTAAAATGACAGCTGTCTGAAGCTTCAGGGGTATGGGGAGAGGGCCATAGCAAATAATGATGCAGACAAGTCTTTGTTACCTTTTTATCTCTTTTTCAAGCACACATTTTGGTCAGGGTTGATGGCTGCAAGAAGGAGAAACCTATGCACCAGCAAAATAGCTCTGAAAGGGAATATTCTCTCATGAGGCATTTTTGTAGACAAGGAACCTCACGGTTTTTGCTACTTGCCTCATGACCTCAACTGACTTGGACTTGCCAGGATCCAGTTTTGATCCTGTTGTCACAGGACTTTTCAGCTGCAGAACCCTTCATGGATGGCTGGTCTCTTTCACTCAGTTCAGATTCCAAAGACAGCCTGATTGGCTCACTCTCACTTGTGGGTTGGTTCTCCTTATCTCTTCCCACCCAGTCCAATCACAGTATCCAGAAGATGAAGTCATGTGATTCATATCATTACTTTTCTAAGGAGAAGTAGATGGATTTAAACAAAACAAAGCGAAACACTGCTGGGCTGTTAGATATGTGTTTTTTTTTTTTTTTGAGGCAGAGTCTCGCTCTGTCGCCCAGGCTGGAGTGCAGTGGCCAGATCTCGGCTCACTGCAAGCTCCGCCTCCCGGGTTTACTCCATTCTCCTGCCTCAGCCTCCCGAGTAGCTGGGACTACAGGCGCCCGCCACCTCGCCCGGCTAGTTTTTTGTATTTTTTAGTAGAGACGGGGTTTCACTGTGTTAGCCAGGATGGTCTCGATCTCCTGACCTCGTGATCCGCCCGTCTCGGCCTCCCAAAGTGCTGGGATTACAGGCTTGAGCCACCGTGCCCGGCCATATGTGTGTTTTTAACCTGCAATTATAGTATAGTATAACACCCTTCACCAAGTTTCCCCTGGTACTTACATCTCACATAACTATAATACAAAATTAAAACCAAGAAGTTGGTACAATGTGTGTGTATAGTTCTATGTCATTTAATCACTGTAGCCATAAACAAAATACAGAATGGTTCCATCAACCCAAAGATCTCCCTCATGCCACCCCTTTATAGTCACATCCATCTCCTTCCCCACCATTCCTGACCCTAGCAACCAGTAATCTCTTCTGCTTATCCTAAATGAGATGATGTATAAATGGAATCCTACAGTGCATGGCCTTTTGAGATTGTCTTGTTTTCACTCAGTATGATTTCCTTGATACATATCCAAGTTGTTGTATGTATATGAGTAGTTCATTCCTTTTATTGCTAAGTGGTATTTCATGGTATGGGTTTAGCACAGTTTGTGTAACAATTGATTCACCTATTGAGGGGCATCTAGTTTGTTCCCTGTTGGGGCTATTACAGTTAAAGCTGCTGTGGCAATTGTATGCAGTGTTTTTGTTGTTGTTGTTGTTTTGAGATGGAGTCTTGCTCTGTCACCCAGGCTGGAGTGCAGTGGCATGATCTCAGCTCACTGCAACCTCCACCTCCCTGGTTCAAGCAATTTCCCTGCCTTAGCCTCCTCAGTAGCTGGGATTACAGGCACACACCACCAGGCCCAGCTATTTTTTTTGTATTTTTAGTAGAGACAGGGTTTCACCATGTTGACTAGACTGGTCTCAAACTCCTGACCTCAGGCAATCCTCCCGCCTTGGCCTCTCAAAGTGTTGGGATTACAGGTGTGAGCCACTGTGCCCGGCCAATTGTATGCAGTTTTTTAAAATGAGAACATGAGTTTTCATTTCTCTATGATAAATGACCAGGAGCGTGATTACTGGGTCATATGTTAGGTTTGAAATTTTTTAGGAAACTGCCAACCCAGCCTGATGGCTCACACCTGTAATCCTAGCACTTTGGGAGGTCAAGATGGGAGGATTGATTGAGCTCAGGAGTTTGAAACTCCCTAGGCAACTTGATAGACCCTGACTCTACAAAAATACAAATTAGCCAAGTGTCATGCCGCACACTGGTAGTCTCGGCTACTTGGGAAGCTGAAATGGAAGGATTGCTTGAGCCTCAGAGGTCAAGGCTGCAGTGAGCTGTGATCATGCCATGGTACTCAACCTGGGCAACAGAGTGAGACTTTGTTTCTAAAGAAGAAAAAAGAAACTGCCACTGGTTTTCAGAGTAGTTGTACTACTTTACATTCCTATCAGCAGTGTATGAGAAATCCTTTTTCTCTGCATTCCTACCAGCACTCTATATTGTCTCTTTTATGATTTATTTTTATTTTTGGGAAACAGGGTCTCACTCTGTCACCCAGGCTGGAGTGCAATGCGCGATCTTGGCTCACTGCAACCTTGGCCTCCCAGGTTCAAGCAATTCTCCTGCCTCAGCCTCCCTAGTCTGGGATTACAGGCACCTGCCACCACATCTGGCTAATTTTTTTTTTTTTTTTAAAGTTTTTAGTAGAGATGGGGTTTCACCATGTTGGCCAGGCTGGTCTTGAACTCCTGACCTCAGATGATCCACCCGCCTCAGCCTCCCAAAGTGCTGGGATTACAGGTGTGAGCCACCGCGCCTGGCCTCTTTTATTTTTTATTTTAGCCATTCTAATAGGTGTGTAGTGGTATCTCATTGTGGTCTTTTAAATTTGTTGAGGTTTATGGCCCAGGGGTGATCTATCTTGGTATGTATTCTGTGGGTGCTTAAATATGTTCTGCTGTTGGGTGGAGTGTTTCATAAATGTCGATAAAATTGTTGGTTGATGGGGTTGTCAAGTTCTTGTATATCCTTGCTGATTTTCTATCAAGTTATTCTGTCAACTGTTGAAAGAGTGGTGTTGAAATTTCCAACTATAATTGTGGAATTGTCTATATCTCCTTTCAGTTCTCTCAGTTTTTATTACACATAGTTTTCAGTTCTGTTTTTTGGTACATACACTTTTAGGATTTCTGTGTCTTTTTGGTAGATTGACGCTTTTATCATTATGTAATGTCCCTCTGTCCCTGTCAGTTTTCTTTGCCGTGAAGTCTACTTTATTTGACACTATATATATATATGGGTATAGTGTTTTTGATTAATGTTTGCATGATATATTTTTTATTCTTTTGGTTTCACCCTACCTATGTCATTATATTTCAAGTGAATTGCTTGTAGACTGCATGTAGCGTATGATTTTTCTTCTATACCATTCTCATTCTTTTAATTAGAGTTTTTAGACTGTTTTCTTACATGTAATTATAGGTAATGTTAGGCCTTAAGTCGGCCATTTTAGTTTTTGTTTTCTGTTCCATTTTTTGTTTTCATTTTCCTGCCCGTAAGTGGGTTACTTGAACACTTTTTTTAGAATACAATTTTGGTTTGTGCATAGTGGTTTGAGTTGTATCTCCTTGTATAGTTTTTTAGTGGTTGCTCTAAAATGTTACTTTATATAACTTATCACAGTCTCCTGGTATCCACATTACCCTCTTCCACCTCTAGTATATCTATGTACTTTGACAACCGCATGAGACAGTGTTGTAAGTTTTGCTTCAAATATAATTTAGAAAACAAGAGAAGGGCCGGGTGCAGTGGCTCACGCCTGTAATCCCAGCACTTTGCAAGGCCGAGGTGGGCAGATCACTTTGAGGTCAGGAGTTCAAGACCAGCTTGGCCAACATGGTGAAACCCTGTCTCTACTAGAAAAAATACACAAATTAGCTGAGTGTGGTGGTGGGCGCCTGTAATCCCAGCTACTCAGGAGGCTGAGGCATGAGAATTGCTGGGACAGGGGTGTGTCTTACTGCCAGGCGGGGGTAGATTTCCAGGCTAACCACATGGTCTCTAAATGGCACAACAGGATTGGGGGTTGGGAGCCTTATTACCACTCATCGGGATTGAAGTTTTAGTTTTCCACTTGGCCTTCTTCAACACCACCCCACAAATAACTAAACATTTGAGGAGATAGCCACCTCACAAAAGGCAACAGTGGACAACATATACTTTCT